CGGACATTAAGTTCATTTTTATTAAAACTGGGAATGTATTTATGTTAAATAATATGCAAACATGTAGTGGAATTTGGTTAGCAAGTAAATAAAGCTTTCTAATTTGAGTGAAGACTCTGACCCCATAGATCTCTTCACTTTTAAACAAAATCTCATTTCTCCACAATTCACATTGTATGTGATGAGGATGACGGGTGTTTAAATTGAAAATAAATCACATCGATGCGCACACTTACGATTTGTATGACGGTTCGCCACCACCCACTCGCTCACCTAAGATCTCCGGCGACGTCCTCTTCTTTCCCTGGCGGCCGGAAGTGACTCCCGGTTAGACAGCGTGGCGGCGTCCCTCGGGGCGCGAACTCGCGCCTGCCTGACACGCCCCTTCCGTTTGGCGAGGGGCGCGCGGGAAGCCGGTGGGGCGGCGGACGCCGCGCGGCCGCGCCACCGCCCCGCCGCAGCGCCGCGGCCGCCGCCGCGCCTCCGCGTGGCTCTTTCTTCACGCGAGTAGTTGATTCTCGATCTTCTCCTTCTTGCGCGGCACCACCGGGGTCTCATGTCTTGTCCTTGCAGCCCTCGACCGCCTGCTCGTCCCGACGAACTTCTCGCGCTCCTCGGCGGCCGTTGGAGTCCGGGGGCGGGGCGCGGCGGCTGGGGCGCGGGGGCGGCGGGCGCCGCAGCCGCCGCCACGGGGGCGGGCCGGGAGCCGGCGCGGGGGCCGCCGCGACGCCACGGCCACCGCCGCCGCCGCAGGGATCTCCTCCTTTGGCGCCCGACAAGGAAGGCGTCGGTCATCTTGTCGCGGCCCCGCGATGGCTGCGCGTCCAGGCCACGCCGCCATGCCGGTCACCAGCTGGCACTTTGTCCACGGCCCCCTAGCGCCGCGTCTCGCGCCGGGCAGGCGGCGGCGGCGGGGCGGCGCGGGCGCGGCCACCTCGAGCCCAGAGCCCGTCGGCGGACGGGGGCCGGCGGGTCGCGGCCGCCTCGCAAGCTGCTGCAGCTACTGCAGTTCGCCCCCGATAGTTTGGGTTCGTTGCCTGCTGCAGCCTCTCTCTGCTGCCCCCCTTGAAGCTGTCCTGGCAGAAGCAAGCCCGCTGCCGTGGGAGTGGGCTTTACCTCGAAGTGGAGCGAAGTGGACGGGAGGTTTTTCCTTCTCCTGCACCGACGGGACCTCGGCTACTTTCGTTGCCAGAGCACGCGGCTGCGGGCTCCGGTCCAACGGAATGGTTGAACTTGGGTTTGTCGTAGAAAGCCTTCTGAAGTTCTCGACCACTGTCCAAGTGTTGATGCTGTCGATCTTGTTCTCGGCGCCGCACTGTTGTTCCTCGATGTCACTGTTGTTGTTGTGTTGCCGTTGCCGTTGCACAAGCACGAGCACGTGTTATTGTTTGTTGCAGCAGCTGTCCTGCGTCCTCGTCGTCGTCCTCGTCGTCCTCCTGTCGCGGGCGGCTGCGCAGCTGGAGCGTGTGCGCAAGTGCTGGAACCCGTAGTTGGGTTTGACGATGCCGCGCCGCAGTTACCGTCCTCCGGACAGCGAGTCGAGAATCGCTGGGCTTCCTCCCTGGCTGAAGCAGCGGTACTCTCGCCCTTGCCGGTGACGTGTCACGCCGAGCTGGAGCGTTGCTGCGCCTCTGCAACAGCGCGCGCCCGCCTCGTCAGAGCGTTCGTCCGTCCGTATAACCCACCCACGCCCACACCACCGCCCTCGGCCGTCGGCGCCGCGCTGCGCTTACATAAAAGTCCCGCGTCCGCCGGGCCCGCGCCCACCAGAAGCCGCCCAGCTGGTGGCCGGCGCAGACGGGCGGACGGGCAGCGCTGCGGCGGCGCGCCTCCGCGAACTACGCGATTAAGAAGTTAGCGCGGAGCGAAGGGGAAACGCGGTCAGCGAGGTGCGGGAGCATTAAAATGGCGAAAGGCGGGTGATATGGGTGCGAGGTTGACGCAGGTGGCAAGTGACAGTAGAACGGTTGATGATGACCATGGCGGTAGTAGTGCGGGGATGGCAGTGGCTGTGGAGGGCGGAGGTTATGGGTGCTGGTGGAGACGTGCAGAGGTGATGTCGTGGCGTAGCTGGGGCCGGTGGTGGCGGAAGGGCCGTATGGCTGGGGTGGCGGGTGGTGCGCTAGCAGCGGCGCAGGGCGTGTCGTTTTGGGCGGTGTCGGGGCGTTTGGCGGTGTCGTAGTCGGTGTCGGTTGTCGGGTCGGTTTGTCGGTTCGATGTCGATGTCGATTGTCGGTGTCATGTCGTGTCGGGTGTCGTGGGTGTCGTGTGGTGTCGGTGTCGGTGTGGTGTCGGTGTCGGTGCAGGTGTCGGTGTCGATGTGCGTGTCGGTTGTCTGGTGTCGGTCGGTGTCGGTGTCGTGTCGGGTGTCGGTGTCCGGTGTCGGTTTCGTGTGGGTCGGTGTGGTGTCGGTGTGGGTGCCGGTGTGGGGCCGGTGGGTGTCGGTGTGGGTGTCGGTGTGGGTGTCCGGTGGTGGGTGTCGTCGGTTGTCGGTGTGGGTCGTTGTCGTGTCGGTGTCGGTGTCGGTGTCGGTGTCGGTGTCGGTTGTCGGGTGTCGGTGTAGGTTATCGGTAATCGGTGGCGGTGCTGGCCGGAGGCGGTGCTGGTGCGGGCGGCGGTGCCGTGTCGTGTCGGTGTGTCGTGTCGGTGGCGGCTGTCGGTTTCCGGTTTGTCGTGTCGGTGGCGGTGCGGTGGCGGTGACAAATGGCGGTGGTGGTTAGTAGCGTGGCTGCTTAATGACAGTTGCTGTAGAGTGAGTTGCGGAGCGGGTAGTTGCCATTGCGTAGCGGCAGAGACGTGGCAGGTGGCAGTGGTGACGGCGCAGAGCACTTGCAGGCGGCGGGGGACGAAGGGGCGGGGCTGGCAGTGGTGACGCAGCGTCCTGTCACGTGGGAGGGGTGCCCTCGCCGGATGGTATCCACGCGGCCCGGTTCGCACACTGCACATTCTCGAATCCAATTGCTCTCGATTAAGTTAATGGATCGTTCAATTCGGTGTCCACTGGAGCTGACTCGAGTCTAAGGGGACGAGATTAAATGAGGTGTGAATGATGCTGTTTCTTTTTTTCAAAGAACCTCTTAATTTATTATATTTATTACACAGAAGCTCTGACTCGTGAATTCCTTCTCAGAAAGTCTCAACAATGAACATATATTCTCTTGTATTACTGTAATGTCGTTAACTATTGTATTATTTATTTAAACCAAGCGGTCGAAATGACAGTGATAAACGACCGTACCAATATAAAATGAATGAGGCTCCATCGTTTAGTTTAGATATTATGAGATATTGCAGCCATTAATTTTCACAATACACTTTTTTAGGGATACCAGCCGTCCTGATTTATCAGGACACTTCCTGACTTTCGGATCTTGTCCTGATTTGTAATCAAAAGTTCTGATTTTTTCTCCGTAACATTATACTTTTAGTGATTTTAATATTTTTAACATAAATATACTAGAAATTAAACTGCTTTAGAGAAGAAAATGTGATATTAGAAGTGAAACTCGGTGTTTCTAACTATAAGAAAAATGGGTATGTCTTATCCTATTATTGTACAGGAAATATTGAAACAGAGATAGGAAAGATCCTTAATTATAAAGCTATCGCAGTCATAATTAACCGCACAGTGCAGAATTAATATAAAAATTGACATATTTTCTGTAGTAGTAAAAAAATGTACCTGTACCGGTATGTCCAGATTTTTTCTGTAAAAATCTAATTTTTAACAAAATATCCTGATTTTTTTCTATTAGTTCCCTGGTAATCCAACCCTTTTTTCCTCGGAAGCTTAATTAATATAATTACAAAATTAAACCCCATCAATCCCATTGCGGAAAAATTGCACTTCTTCTCATGACCTCCAAAGCAAATTCTTTTTAATTTTTCTACTTGGAAAAAGTTGTAATGTTTTTTCCTAGTTTGGACTCTTCAAGATACGACATACGACATTAAATACGACACGACAGTTCAATTTTCAGTCTCTAGAACCGAACTTCAAACGCACACTCGCGCTGCACTTAAGGACATGCTTTACGAGCTGCCGGCGGCCAGAGTGGGTTGGGTTCCGTGAATGAGACGTTGCCGGGGACTCATTCACGAGCAGAGTCGTCTGAAATTCGAGGTCAGACATGAGCTGCCCCAGCTGCAAATAGATGACCGCACCGTGACTCACCCACGCATTTTTGCGAATGTCTCGTCGCCGCGCGGTGACGCGGCTCGTGATGAAGAGGGAAGTTTAGCCTATGTATAGGATTTGATCATCCATTTGTGAGGGATGCAACGAAAATTTATTATCATGACTGGATTGGAACTGTCGTATGTAGTGTGGTTCTCGGAGCAGTAATTCAATAAACAGTTCATAACTTTACGTCTCTCGCAAATGTCACGCGCAGGGAAATTGCTTTTCTGACGTATAAACTATTATTATCAATATAATAATAATAATAATAATAATAATAATAATAATAACAATTATTATTATTATTATTATTGAATAATGCTGTTTGTGGTTGTTACACTTTTTACCCATTTATTTCCTAGTGTAAATCCGTTTTGCTCTTCATGTGACCATGGCTTTTATGCCCCGATTGTTCTTATCATGGTGATAGTTATGGGAATGAATAAGTTCGTTTTCTTTCAAATGTGAGCCCTAGATAGTGTATTGATTTCTTCACTGAATATATTTTTTTTAATAAGAATACAGCAAACAATGATAATTGTTTTAATATTGCGGCAGTATGTTTGTTGCACGTGTACCATTTCTCTGCATTTTTATTTCAAGCAATATAAACTTTATAACAGGTCTAATTTCGAGAATGGTATTATTAAAATTAATTGGCTATGATATGAGTGTGTGTCGGAGGTAATTCTTGGGAAGGGAAAATGATGAAAAATTACAGAAAAGTACTGTAGATTGCTAGAAACGACTGTCCACGTGTATTTCGTGTCTGTTTCAACGAGTTTTTGTCATTGCTTTTTGCGATGAAACACATTCGCACTCACTTGCATGTGACTGACATCTTACCCTCGAAGTCGCCTATGCTGTCATCTGGAGAGGACTCGGATAGGCAGTCGCTGGATGTGCTGTAGCTGGGTGGAAACACGCTCAGCCTTTGCTGCTGCTGCTGCTGCTGTTGTTGTTGTTGCTGCTGCTGCTGATGGTGTTGTTCGAAAGCCTCTGTGATGTTGTTGTTGAAGTTGCTGCCGTTGGTGATGTGCAGATCCTTGAGCGTCGTCGTGTTGCCCGCAGTCACGTAGTTGCTGGCCCATTGTGTGCTGCAATAAAAGGCAATCTCTCTTTTAGAACGGGTGTACAATGGGCGAGAATAGGAGCATTAATACCATTGGATGTTTTAAAGCAGAATTGGACAAAAGTTTGGGAAATAATTCGTTACTAGAATAGAGAAATGGTTTTATCGGGGACATGTGCAAGGTGTGTGTTGATCTCTGTAGTATAAAATAATTGACATCAGTGACAGAGTGAAAAATTCTCGAAAAGAAACAATTCGCTCTAACGTTTATTGACATCGACGTTTTCATTTTATGTGCTTAAAAGTATACAGTTGTAAATTGAATGACCCAATTGATCAGTTCAATATCAGTCTACAAATCAAACAAAGCATTCATGAATGTATAGAAAACATTCTATATTTAATTGAAAAAATAGTTAGAAATGCAATTTGTTTCTAAGGCCATCTAGCATACCAAGTACGAAATGTTAGAAATTATCTAAAATATTATTATTATTAAGTAATAAATAAAGTCCATAAACTATGCAATACGTAGTAATTTGAACTTGATTTCCACGCCATAATCATATGAAAATGTCTAATTCGTTACTCAGAGACCTAACACCCAATGTTTAGACTACGGCGAAAATGTGTCTCGTGTTGGTCTTCCTTGTTATTGGCCATTAAAATGTTCTAAGAATATACAAGTCTCTTATAGTACAAGTAACGAATAAAACATCCGCCGACATTTAACTGAATGCACGAATAGAATAGCATTGAAAAGTATTATCAGGAATGAAAAAGTGCAGTGATCGTACCCATCCTGGCTACTTAAAATGTAACATGTTAGATACGTGGCTGTAAATGCACTGCACTTATTATCCCCTACAAAATTGAGTGTCACAAAATTTCAAGGGTGCTCTAAACGATCCTTACAATTTCCACTTAAATTGTGTTTGACGTCATACGCACTGTATTTGTATTTGCATGAACGCCGCGCGTATTTGAAATGCATGAAATTTCCCATTCGTGGGTCGTGAAATGTTGCCTCAGGCTAACAGATGGTCTGATTACATTGTTTCATATGAATTCTCCCCTCAGCTAAGTCACAGTCGATATTTTCATGATCGAATATCTGTCTATAGTAGATGCAGAAAATATCGAAAATTCGTAATACGAATTCATTTTATTGAGATTATTTGTGTTTAATTAGTTTTATTCGACAACGAAAGTGTATTGTTAGTGAAAATGAAACTCTTAATCTTTCTGACAAAATGTTTTATTGGTCCAAACACAACAAATGAATACAATTTTGATTCACATAAAATTCAACACTTCATTCATTCACAGAAATTTGTTTTAATTCAGTGTAAATGAATTTACCCAACGTTTATGTGCAAATTAATTCTTTGACGTTAGTTTCCAAATACAAGTAATTTATATATTGACATTTTCTTCAAAGTATCAATTTGTAATTTTTACAAATTATAGAGTGATACAACAGATTTTGTTGAAATTGCTTTTGTGCGCGATTGTATACTTTGTTTTATTACTTTTGTCATTCAACAAAATATGAGACAGCTCTTCTTCCAGAAACGTAAGTTATGCAATACAATATGACACAATTCATGTTCTAGAAACGATTGCTCTTTCTAGAAATGCTTGTAACATAAAATTTAATTTACGGACTGATTGTGAGTTGATCGCAAGTAGCAACATCTGAATCAAGGAACCTGAAGGATCATCAAGAATCCCGCGTAACTATTTGATGACTGAAGTAATGGAGCAGAATAAATATGTATTTCTATCAATATTTTGAGACACTATTTCATTCAATATGTAACATACGTATTAAGGTGCAATCTATATTACAATCGAAGAGCCGAACTGTATTAACTAAAATTACTTAGGATTTCAGAATTTGGTTTAAAAAAGATATATCATATTTCAGTCAGTAAATAGTGTACACGTAGGTTTCCGCGGCTCGAGTTCATGACTTCTATGCTGTCCGGGTGATGTCTAGGCGTCACCCGGACAGCCTAGAAGTCAGGAAATAGTGTGTCTAATGAGATTAAATATCCAAGAAAACTAATCATTTACAGTTGTTTTACCTTTCGTGAATATGTTTAAGATGTTCTCTCTACTGTATCCCCAAAGGTACACCAGTTTAAAACAGCCTCAAAGTGTTTTTTAGCGTGAGTGTAGTTTTTGGCAACGTACACTGTTTTCTCGAGGGCAGAGTGGAAACTTCTGTGTGGAAACTTCCAATGTCATTCCCTTCCTGCAGGTTTACAAATTTTTCACGTGACGTTACACTTTTCCTGCAAAAGGTAACTCCCAAAACAAAATGTTGATTTTCATACTTATGATAATGCCATTAGGTCTGTCCATACTTTATATTTTATACAGATTTTTACCACCGTAAGTAAAATAAAGAAGTACATTTGTGTAAGTACAGGTAATACAACCAGAAACTCAATTTAATTGTTCAAAATTAAAAATTGTTTTGTGTGTTTTTGGAGGAGAGCAACCTTTTAACCCACTACAGTTATGTTAAACTGTATGAATACAGTTTAAATATAAGCTGTTCCCTATGCGTCCAGGCCGTTAAATATAAATTCTAATATATACCAGAAGAAAAACTTGAACTTTATTCATAACCTCACACATTGTTTCTCTGCTCATATTGGTGTTTCAAAAATTGAAAAATTAATATATTTGTTCACAAAAAAATTGAACACAGAAATAAAAAAGCAATTGAATTGAGTAAATTCTGTGTTTTTTATTTTGGTGTTAATTTTTCTTTGCATACAAACATATTCATTTCTTTTGTAAATAATAAACAATTTAGATGTTTCTGGAGTGTTTAAATATTTCTGAATTGCAAGTTTAGAAAGTACTGTTTCAAATCAACTTTCGAGTGTTTATTGCGGTTTATTGCGTCGAGTGCTTAACCATTCGAATGCTCGATGAAGTTTATTGGAGAAAATATGCTTAAAATTGAAATTGTCTTAAGAGTTTATTTTAGAAGTTTTGTTATTTCCATCTGTGGACACTAATATATATATATATATATATATATATATATATAATATATAATATAAATGGAAAGCTAATTCCTTCGTGAAAAGGTCAATTGTTTAAGAGACATGGTAAGGCAAGAAAAGTCGCGGGAAGCAAAACGTACGATACGGTTTTTAGAGCAAAGGTTTGAAAATTGTCTCGAGGGAGAATCCCTCGAAGATTTGTTGCGCAATCACGGGTTACCACCCCTTTCATTCCGCCACGACCACCATCTCCTCTGCATCAGCATTTTCTTCACCACCAACACCAGCGCCCTCTTTCACCCCTGCGACGCCGCACCGCAACCACCGACGCCTATGCGATAGCTTTCCGATACCAATATTGGACGGTGAGGCGGATACGCATGTCCCGGGGCGCCATCGCCCCCTCCCCCCGCATCCCGTTTCGTCCCCACCCCTCGCCGCGTGTGGCCCCCGGGCTGCTCTTTCGCAGCGGGGCACTTTCGAGGAGGCGCACGGGGGTTGTGGAGAACCCTTCACAGTGGCTGCGTTTGGCGAAGCAACGTTGACGTCTAACAATGGGAGTGGATATGTTGTACCACGCCTTTTCGGTTCCTACTGCAGGGAAGAGAAATAGCGCATTCAGGCGAACCTCGTTATAATAAACCTCTGGGAACAAAGATTTTTAACTCTTATCGGCGAGAGCTTGTATAAGTGGGAATGCTAATAAAGAAAATCATGGTACGTTTTATTTTTCCTGTTTTCGACTTGACATGTCGACGCCCTTTATTCAACTCACTTTGTTTCAAAATGTAAATTTAACTTCTATAAAACGTGTTCTAAAAAAGTGTCCAAATTGACGGGTCATCTTTGAAGCAATCGGAGATGTTGAAAATCTCGTTACAAAATACTCTTTCTAGATGATGAACCTTACGCCTCGTGAAATACAACCATACGTTAACTGTTTCAGCTCATCTGAAAAAGACGAGAAGATTAGCGTGCGTGAGCTGCCGTCAGAGCCGCACACCTTAGCCAACCGCCTTTCAGAACCAAGGGGGGATTGGCAGAAGCTTTTCACCTTTCTCACATGAGAGGGTTTATATAAGCTTCTGAAGATGGAAATATTTCGATTTTCAGTCACGGGTGTTTAAGAGGAACATAATTGAGTCATGGTGTCGCCATGTGCGAAAATTTGTCACGTCGATTCCTAAATCTTACTCGAAGGGGGAGGTCTTGTTTAGAACCTACATTCTTGTACTAAAATCGAGAAATATCGGGCCCTAAATGCGCCACAAATACACTTAATTGATACTTTACGACTCAGAACAGCCCACATTGCCTCTCATAAGCGGGATTATCTTATATCTCGAGATCTCTTATAAAATGGTTTATTGTATTTGAAATTACTTTTATTTTAAAAAAGATAAAAGAATACAAAGAAATGAAGGTCGTAGTTAAAAACAAAAAAAGTCACTTAGAAATACAAGAAAATTCATAGTTCATACAAAAGAGCATGTTACAAATTTTCAGCGAACACTTCATATACAGAGATTATTCGAAAGGATCAATCGAACAAAACTTACTTTATTCTATCCCTACACAATAAGAATACGCTCCGTATTGTTATTGTATTATTTTCCTGCAATTAATTTCCCATATTATATTATATTACACTGTACTATATTATATTATCATCAAATATTAAAAAAAGGATATGTCGGTTTGTTTTTAAAAAAATCTGGAAATCTTGTAAATATGTAGCAAAATTGTAAAACACAAGTTTGTTTGCTACAAATCACAATATTAGAGAATCGTTTGGTACAGAATACATTTGTAACCTATTTTTCAAATATGCCATAAAATGCGCTATGAGATAAGGCTCAATTGCTAAAGTGATGAATATGTTAAAGTTCAGCGTGAATTGACTGTGCTATTTTGTGAAATGTATTTTAAATTAAACGTTTTTTATTCAAAGGACAATTATATTAAATCGGAATTGACTGAGGTAATGCAATTAACAGAA